GGGTTGGGGCTTCCCCCCTCTCTCCCCCCCCGCCCCAAGCAGGAAGCTGGTGTTGCAAGGTCACAGGGGAACACGGGGATGGAGCACAAGCGTGGACTTCCTGCTGTGGGGGGAGAAAAAGGGGGACTGAGTTCAAGCTGTAAAAGAGCCATATTTGGCTCCCTCCTGAGCCATATTTGCCTCGGGAGCCATAAATTGCCAACCCTAGCAAAGCTCCAGAGAATCTCAGATGAACTGCTTTTTAGTAGATTTTACTTTATACTAAATGACTTCAGCCCCCCCCCACACACACATCATTTCTCAAAGTTATTCAATACACGTAAGAAAATAAATGAGAACAGTACATTCTCTTTTTTTTTTAAAATATTCCACACACACACACAAAATTTCCTGCGGAACAACAAAGTGATGTCATCACTTCATTATCCCCATCTCCTCCCTCCCTCCCCCTTTGCCTGGTGCCACAGGGCGGGAGCTGCACAACCCCTTCTCCCCAGTGCTTGGGAAAAAGCCATATGGGTCCCTCCCACACCCCCAGCCCTGTCACATACACCCTTGGCTGAGACCCTGCACACCCAAGCCCGCTCACTCATACCCCCACAACCTGAGACCCTGCACCCTCAGCCCCATCACTCACCCCTTCCACCAAGACCCCCCGGCCCCAGCCTGCTCCTGCACCCTTCCGGGGGTGGGGTGGGGGGGGGGAAGAGTGCCTGAAGGGGTTGGCAAGTGTAGTGAGCAGGGGGCACAGCCCCCTAGTTACCCCTAATATAAATTTTTACAATTTACCTTACTGCTCCTGAACCATTCCAGGCTGCAGGGCACTCAGAACAGTAAGGCCATTCTTTTGAATCTAGTTTGTTTTCTATTGCATCCTGAAAAGAGATTAATTTTAACCAGTTATATTAACTTGAAACTTTATGCATATACAAATGCCCATAAATCTCCACTCTTGACAAGGATGGCTAGTTTATAAGTTCCAGTCTAGAAGCAGTGACAAGTCAAATAGATTGCATAAGAACTAGTGCTCCTACTGAAAGCCACACCATAATTACCATAGTACTGAGTCATTTGTGACAGAGTCCATGTATCATCATGAGGAAGAAAAAACAGTGCGAAGTTATGAATTGTTCAGATTTCATTTTTGTTTTATAACTGTCTTAACCTATTTAATTTCTCTCTCTTGCTCTATACTACACCTGGAAGGTTGGCTTAAGGTATGCAACTTAAGTAACTGGTATCAATATATCTTATACCAAGCCTGGCACCTTCTCCACAGTGGGACAGACAGGAGGAAACACTCCTGTCAACTCCCCTTCCTGGTTGAATAGCTCGTCTCTGTTTGCCAGTGACACCCTCAGCATTCAGTTTAGAGAGTTCTTAGAACCGCTAAATCGAATGCCAGAACATTGATCTCCAGCGTGGCAAAATAGACGTGGCCTGAGTGGATCCCTTGCATGGATTGTTCCAGGCTGAGGTTGATCTACATCCTAATGAATCTGTTATGCCCTAATGAATCTGTTCGTCTCTAATGCCAGATCCACACTACACCTTGCAGCTCTGCTTATGGCACACAACTACAGCTACGCAGAATACGTAGCTGGAGTCTGCTTACCTTAAGCTGAGCTTGGTGGTGTCTGCACAGTGGGAGTCTGACTGAAGCAAACACTTGCATGGGCTTCCCTTATTCCTCAGCAAAAGGAAAGATTGGCTAAATCCAGCACCAAAATATTGAGTGCTGCAGAAGCAATCTTCCTTTTAGATCAAACAAGACCCAGGGTACCAAAAAAAGAGAACCCAATTTCATACTATCAACCACTGGAGAGGAATTTCAATTGTCTCCCTCTAATTTAAAACTAGCTGAAGCAAATTATTTCCCACTTATTCATTTCATTTTCTATTTTTATATAGAAATTTAGTGGCTGTGTGCACGTCTTTATATATTCCATAAAACTTTCATATGAAAAAAGTTCTTCAGTGTAATATAAAATGTAATTAACCCAAACTTTTTATAATTTCAACAGATTATCTTTCAAACAACTGTTATCCTACAATGTCCTTAAGGATATTTCTATTAAGGATGTTAAGAAGCGAGTAGCTGACTAATCGTATGCTCGATACAAACTGTATGGAGTACATGATTAGTCAACAAGAGGCCTTGCTGTAGCTCTGCTGTTTAAATGTGAAAGGAGCCCGTGCGTAGGCAGCCTGGCTCCTACTACATTTAAACTGCAGAGCTGCAGTGGGGGTAGGTCTGAGACCTGGTGTGAGTCAGGACTCAGCCATCCTGGCTCATGCCAGGTCCTAGAGTGCTGTGCCTCTGCCTTTTAAATGTAGTAAGAGCTGTGTGGCTTCTACTACATTTAAGAGGCAGAGCTGCAGTGGTCCTGGACCAGTGCAAGCCAGAACTGAGCAGTTTGCTTGGTCCCAGTTTGCACCAGGTCCAGCAGCCCCTGCCTGGGGGTGGGGGTGCCGCTAGTGGGGAGCTGGGACTCCCTGTGGATAGGGGCTGCTACCGGAGCAGCACTGTCTGCAGCCAGCCCAGTACACCATGGAGACAGTGCTGGGGAGAAGCCAGCTTTTAAGCTGGTTCCCCCCAGCACCAGCTCCTGTTTCCTTCCCCTGCTTGCTGCCTTTAATACAGGGGGGGAGGGGAAGCAAGTAGTTGAGTACTTGATTCCTCACTTGTTTCCTAGAGGCAGTATAGAAATTAACTACATTCTTAGAGTTTACCTACCTCCATAACGTCTTTGATAACAGGTGTCCATCTAGAAAGTTGAAAAGTTTCTTCTGAAGAGCGATCCTTTCTTGATTGTCTACGTTGCTGAGCAGCAGACTAAATAAAAGATTTTAAAAAGAGGCTATGGTTTTATATTTCTTTTAAATCAGTTTCAACACAATAGAATATTCTAAGGAAATACTGTACCATGTCTGTAGTACATTTCAGCTGCAATTCAAAATTAACTACTGGAAATCTCCATGTCAGAAACAAGGAGCTGGATATATTGGTTTACCCAAAAAGTGACTGTTTGAATGCTGAAGGGTATAGAATTACTAAGAGAATGGCTCCCCACATATAATTACTGCCCAGCTGCTGGAGCCTAGTGCTTACAGCAGTGGTCCCCTAACTTTACCCTTGCACCTGTTCACTGCAACTAGATACTTGGATAGAATAGTGCAAAATGAATAATGACTCTTTTCAAGGAAGTAAGAGAAATTTCAAAACACTGATTTTTTTGGTTACTTTGAGAATTGCCTATCATACCAAAATGATCAGATTCTTAAATACAGGTCAAACCTCCCTGGTCTGGCACCCTCCTAGGGAATTTGCCAGATCAACAGGAGGTTAGTGTTGCCCACGGGCTTCATGCTCCTGTCAGCACCCCCTAATCTGGCAATGTTCCTGGCCCCAGCCTGTCTGTTCCCATGAGTGCTCCCACAGGGTCGCCAATGATGCCAGACCAGGGAAGTCAAGTTTATGGAGATAAAACACTGAAGAGTTCATAAATTAGACTGTATTCAAAGCCCACATAGCTTTGACAAGTTATGGAATAAACAGCTTGCATCAAAACATGATTTTTGTAGAAACCTTAGTATTATTCTGAAAACTATCCAATGTAAAAACCAGTACACTGTTTTACAAGTTAGATATGTTGTGAAATTTAGCAGTGGGAATTTCTCAAGAATTCCTAGCAAAATAACTTAACTTCTGGATTCTTCCAAGAAAAAAAAATAGAATGCCACATTAACAGTTACAAAATGCAGAATTTAGAGCTCAATGAAAAAAAATGCAATATTTCTTATTGTAAGGGACAGAAAGAGAGCCTGGAGCACTCAGTCTGGTGCAAGACCTGAGACCTGAACTAGAGGCTGTGAACCAAAGTCAGGCCATGTATTAAAGCAGATACTTACAAATATCCTCTGATACACAGCTTTGGAAAAAGTACTGCTAGTATTGCTAAAATACAAGCATGCCTAAGAAGCAGATACTGGGTCTGTGTGTGCTCGTGAACACATGCCAAAACATCAGCACAGGCACATCCTAACCTAGCACCAGATAAGAGTGTTTGACAAAAGTGATGAATAGCAATGTTTTGCTTGAGACATCTAAAGCAAGGTTTCTCAAATATAGCCACCAGAAGCTTTTTGTGCAACCATGACAGCCTCCTCCTAGGCAATGATTTGGGGGGAGGCAGGGAGAAAGGGGTACAAAGCTTCAGCCCCAGCCCCTGCTCATTGCTCCTGCATGCACCAACTTGCACTGCCTCTAGAGAGAGAGAGAGGGCACAATGCTGCTGGACACCCAGCCCATCTGAGCTGCATGGCAGCAGGTGCTGGTTTTGTTCTCAAGCTCCAGTCACATGGTGGCAGGCACTGGTCTTGGATGCCACTCCTTGGCTCCTGCTGCCTCCCCTGACACCATCCCACCGCCGCCTCTTGCCCCTGCTGCCTCTCCTTTTGCCACCACCCCCATCTAGGGGTCAATGGGTCCTGGGGCTGAGGAACATGATATTAAACACATGCAAGTATCTTTTTGTAGCAGACTTACTAGCTATTTCTGAAGAGAAGTTGTATACTTGTCAATATCACTTTTCACAGCCTCCTAGGAAGTTAGTGTACCATGAAATGAATATACAAATATCACTTTTCACAACAAGCCCCAAGACCTATTAAGCTCTGGACAGGGACCAAGAGAGGAAGTAACATTTTTATTGAGTCTGCCAATGGATTTGGATGCAAATCTGTTTCTTCCTAAAGTTAAAATAGTTTAGGAAAAAGGTGTCAGTGAGGCCACCAATAAGAGTTGGTGGCCTTGTTCAGAGTACCATCAAATCTGTTGTACCTTGCTCTGTTCAGGGGTTCTTACAGGGGGAGGAAACAAGCAGATGTCATGAAACACAAAAAATGGTATGTAAATTGTTTGTCTCAGTCTAAGTGTCGGGGAACCTTCTTCACCCTTGTGTGAAGGGCCAGCAAAAATCCTTGCTGCTGACTGAGATGTTCCTTGCCACAGGGC